TCTCTCTCTCTCTCTCTCTCTCTCTCTCTCTCTCTCTCTCTCTCTCTGTGTGTGTGTGTGTGTGTGTGTGTATGTGTGTGTGTATGTAAACCAATGATAATTATAGAAGAGAAGGTCAGGAATCTGGGAAAGCAAATGGGGGATAGAAGGGAGAAAGCAGAAGGAAGAGGGGGAAATGATTAAATACAGTACTCAGGTGTGAAATTCTCAGAAATTAGTAATTTAAAAAAGTCACACATCAACTTCGAGGACAGGAAAACTAAAGAGAAAATGTGGCAGTGCAGAGACTGAGGTCATGACTACGGAAGGCGAATCTTCAACTTTCTGTCCCCATTCTGACAGATGCCAGGCACAGGGGTTCTGTGAAGTCTATGCCGTCAGCTTCAAAATCACCCTGGAAATAAATAACCCCTGGTAGGGAGCTGTCCATGGTAGTTTGAACAAGAATGGCCTCAATAGGTTCATATGTGTGAATGTTTAGTTCCTAGTCAGTGGAACTGTTTGGGAAGGATTAGGAGGTGTGGCCTTGTTGGAGGGGGTGTGCCACTGGAGAAAGGGTTGGTCTTTGAGGCTCCAAAAGCCCGCACCATTCTTGTTAGCTCTCCCTGCCTCCTACTTGTAGATAAGGATATAAACTTTCAGCCACTCTCCAGTGCCGGGCCTGTCTGACGGCGCCATGCTCCCCGCCACTGAAACGCTGAAGTCCCCAGATTAAACACTTTCCTTTATGAGCTGCCTTGGTCATGGTGTTACACCACAGCAATAGCAAAAACCAAGACGGAAATAGAATGAGCAAGTCGGGTCAGAACCTTACGCAGCAGTATAACTTCTGAGAAGAAAATGTTAAATTCAAATCTGTGTGCTCAACTCCAACGCTATCTATGGCAGTGTGACAGTGAAGTCCCTGAACATTCCTGTGTCTCTTTGCCCCCCACTGTGCCCTGGAGATAAACAACAGCACTTTCCACCCCCATATCGGTCTGAGCATAACAGGCAACTCTGGGAGGTCCTGGAGGTAGCTTGGACACAGGATGGTGTTGGTGTGTATCAGCCACTGTCGTCATTTCCTTCAGCTCAGAAGCCTTTCGAGAGCACAGGGGAGTCTGTGCTGTCCTTTTGTTTTACACTCCCTTCCTTCCAGGAGGATGGCTGTCTGCTGAAGGGAGTCAGGTGTGTGTGGACCAAAAGTGTAGTTAGCATCACAGAGCATCTGCCACCGTGGGCTCTATCAGTCTGGGGAACCTTCCAGAGCCTAGCACGAGGTTAGGCTGTGGTGGGCAGCAGCAGTCATCAGAATTCAACCTCAGTTCCTCTCTTGTCATCTCTAGAGCACCATTTTTTTTCCCAACCAATGCTTGTATTGACAAACTCTGAATGGTTCCCAGGAGTGGAACAAGAACAGAGTAGCATCCCCAGGGAGGTAGGAAATGAAAAAGGAAGGCTTTGGTTTTAAAATACTAGAATTTATCATTTCAATCCAGATATTAGATTTTAAGTTTCATGTGAATGTCATCTCTGGACTTAGAACCGTGTTTTATGAACTATCATGGTTTCGTTGTTAGAATTAGCGGAGTGTGCTCATCTTCTCTAGAATGCTACTTGTATTAAGACAGCCCAATCCTGTTCCAACATCCGCCGCCAAGGCTGATTGACCTGGGTCAGACTGCTGACCTCCTTGTTAACTCAGGACATCTGGCCACACCAGGCTTGATTCCTTGTCTGGCAAAGTTCACCTGCAGGTATGGTGCCTGAATACCACTTCCCAAGGTGTGTGCTCGCTGGGGCTCTAGTCCCTAAGGCTCCTCACATCCCTGAGCCACCTCGTCCACTGTGTTCCTTTCCCAGTCTCTCATGATGCCTTATCTGTGAATGCAGCCTCTGGTCTGTGCTCTGAGCAGGTTTCCTAATGGATGAGGGAATCTGATGGGTCACAGCTTCCGGGGTGAGCCCCGACTCACAACCTGAACCTCCGGCCTGTGAGAGACTGAGCTAGGAAGTCACCCCCAGATTCAGAACAGAGCAGGACCCGAGGCACAAGTGACCCTCTCCACAGCCACCTTATTTGTGCTTATCATGGATGCTACGGGCACTTCACATTAATAGACTGTGAAATTAAACATATGGATCTACAAAAAACGGCTGCCTTTTGTGAGCTGGCTTAGGCTGTTAATTACCGCTCCTAAGGATCTGACTGCATGCTTCATGCTATTACGTCCTTTGCAATCTTAATTACATTCTAATCAAAGCTTTTACATGGCCTATTTTAAGGCTTTCAGTTTAATTATCAGCATTAACAATATTCTGTTGTTGCTTTACAGAGCCCTTCTGGCCATTTATCTTTAAATGTTAAGTATTTATATAAATGGACACCTCATGGTCCAGAATTTTAAGTAGCCATCCACTAAAGTATAACTCTGTCTCTTCTTTTGGACTGATACTGCAGAACCAGATTAAAGCTATAGTGATAAAAACTCAAAGACCCCGTCTTCAAACAGTAGCTCTTTTCCTTGCATTTTTACTCTTCTGTTTGGTTTTTAAAATGCTAGAGTTTTTCATTTCAATCCAGATATTACTTTTTAAGTTTCATGTGAATTTAATCTCTGGTTTTAAAATTGTGTTTTATGAACTAACATGCCTTCATTGCCAAGTGTCTTACATTCATTTTCCTTTTTAAAATGTATTATTCATTTATGCATGCATATGTGTGTGTGTGCATGTGTGTGTGTGTGTGTGTGTGTGTGTGTGAATTCCATGGAGCATGAGTGGAAAGCAGAGGACTGCATGTGAGAGTTGGTTTTCTCCTTCAACCAAACAGGCCCTGGGGACTGGACTCAAATTGCCAGGCTAGACAGCAAGCACCGTAAGACACTTTACCCACCGTGCTATCTCACTGATCCTCATGTTCTCTTTCCAGGTTGCTCGTGAATGTAGCTGCTGTAATTTTTTTGCAACCTAAACTTTGAACTGTTTTTCATTCAGGCCTTTCCCTGCCTCACCCCACCATTGGGAAATCATATGGCTCTGTGCCAAAACCACACCTGGAGAGAATCACAGCTGGAGAGGGCCACAGCTGGAGAGGGCCACAGCTGGAGAGGAACACAGCTGGTGAGGGCCACAGCTGGAGCGGAACACAGCTGGAGAGAACCACAGCTGGTGAGGAACACAGCTGGAGAGGGCCACAGCTGGAGAGGGCCACAGCTGGAGAGGAACACAGCTGGCGAGGGCCACAGCTGGAGAGAACCACAGCTGGTGAGGGCCACACTAGGGGTCGGGAACAGGTGGTATTTGAGCTCCATGTGAAGCTTGTAACAGCAATGTTATGGTGATGGCTCCACCCAGACTGCTCATGCCAGAGCCCCTCAGCTGATGCTTTAGACAGCCATAAGAGCCTCTGAATGTACAAGTCGTTACATTAACTGCCACAGTATGACATTCTTCAGACATCAAAGACGCATCACCTTGCATAGCATCCAGTCCCAGCCGTCTGGAAATACAGAGGGAAGTGAGGGAACGCTCTCAGCTTTGAAAAGAACAAGCTGGCCAGGAGCTGTACTCAGCCGGAGAAAGATGAACGAACGTTAACTCGCTGCATTTGCCAGCCTGACGAGCCCCACGGAGGCAGCAGCTCCCTGCTCTTTTCCTGCTCCTCCTCCCAGGTTCTGCCCTGCTGATGCTTCCTCCTGGCCTGCAACCAGACTATGCTGCCACCAAAGACGCCTCAGCACAGAGCTGTGCAGTATGCAACTCTCAGAGAAGTGAGACAACTCCATGACAGTTCTTCCCCCAAGGGAAGCCACAGGACCAATGTCCACACCAGTGTGCCCGCTCATTCAATCCTCCATGAACTCTGCGAGGGTGGAATTACGTTCAGAACTGGCTCCCTAACCTAGACTGCAAGGTGGTAAGAATCTTGTGCCCAGGACCCATGAGGCAACCTTCCCACACAGGGAGTCCCTAGCTTCCAACCTTAGAATGATCTAGAGACAGGGCCTGCTTTGGGCCTCACTATGAAACCTATCTCTGTGTCTAATAATTTTTGACGTACTGATGGCGAGTACCACATCTTCTGGGTGGGAGACTTTATTATATTTTACAACATGAACACAGAGGAGAGTAGGTGGTACGGCAAACACCTCAGGTAAAGGAATCACTGGATGAGCAAGCATGCCCACCCCGCCCTAGCATCTGCCTTCCTTGTGCGTGGGTCTCTCAGAGACTGGTCCCGGTGTCCCGACCTTACCAACTGAAAATGTTGAAGGGAGACATGGGGAGCAGCAGGAACACCATCCACAGAACAGAAGCTGGGGGACTTTAGAGCAACTGATGAGAATCACATTACAGAAAATCCTTTCCACTGTGTTATGACATCAGGGTAGAAGAACGAGCCAGGGGCTCAGTGTCCATCTTTCCTAGACACCCATCATACAGGGCCCTCGGTGATCCCCTCCAGAGGCAAGCTGGGCGCACTGTCGTCTGTAGGTATTTCCTCCTTCTTCAGTGAAGCGGGTACTCGGAGGCTGACATACGGTTTATGACACGCCGTGTTGGCCAGAGGCGGGTAATGTTGTCTGTAGCAAATATAGGCAAAAATGAGGCCAATCACTCCTCCGACAAAGGAATCTAGGCGGGAGAGAGGAAGCGGGAAAGACAGTTATTCCTCCTTCACATGAGCAGCCCAGATATCCAGAAAGTTCTTTGCCCACTTGCCCTAGATGATGGATTGCTTTCAGTCTCTCCACCCCAACCACCACTCCCCACCCGTCGGAGACCAAAGGAAAGGAAGCACGCTGGAAGTGTCAACCACAGTCGTCTCTTCCGAACTGCCATCGTTTGAAGCACTTAAATGCTAGAAACCAAGGGCTCAAGACTACTGAAAGGGCTCAGCATGGAAAACACTTGCTGAGGAGCCTGATGGCCTAAATTGCAGTCTAACCTTCCAAAAGGTGGCTGGAGAGAAGAGAGTCCACAAAGCTGTTCTCTGACTTAGATATGTACCGCCCTGCCCCACCCCCATGCACACAGATACTCTTTTAAAAATCAAGGACTTGACTCTGTGCCCCTCCACGCCCTTTAACTCACGCCCTAGCACTGCATGAGCTCAGACTGGCATTCTAGATTTTTCAGAGTAGAAGAAGAGTCCTAGACATCTCTCTCCCATCTGAACACCCGCAGAGGCTGACATTCAGTTTTCCTAGGCAAGTCTTGCTAGAGTCTTTCATCCTTGCTGGTGAGCTACAAGAGCCCAGCAGGTGGTCTGGTCTGTGCCTTACAGGAAGGGGTTGCTTGGGGATGAAATAAACCCTCAGCGGCATATGGGAATAAATCCTTTAGCAGTCCTTGAGACTTGGCAAACTCTTCAGAGCTCTGTACAAAGAGGCTCGATCCCTCCAGTGAGCTGCAAGAATCACTGAGAGGAAGAGGTGATGGTGGAGGGCAGATGAAGCAACATGGCTCACCTGTAGGCAAAGGCAGGATCCTTTACCAAACAGGGCGTTCAGGAGCTCAGGAGAGACCCCATGAACACGACCTGCCCATCAACCCTAGTGTACGTGATGCATGCCTGAATGATTTCTACAGACTGCTTTTGCCAAAACACCCTAACACAGTGGGAACCCCCCATAGGAAGAGACCTCTGGAACTCACGTCATCGTTGTCACTGCCGTGCTCAGCGGTCATTGTCCACATGTCAGTTATCTTGCTAGGTCATGCCAACTTCCTACAGAGAGTTGGAAGCACCTCCGTTTTCCCCCAGCATTCCCATTGAATTCCATTGCTGTGGGCAGATCCCACAGCCAAGAGCAATGTAGGGGAGAAAAAGGTTGATCCAGCTTCCAGTTTCAGTCTATCCTCAAGGGAAGCCATGGGAGGAACTTGAAACAGAAACCATGGAGGAGCATGGGTAGCTCAATCAAAGACCTATGCTTGGCAAGCTTTCTTATACAGTCCAGGATGATGTGCCTCAGGAATAATGTCACCCAAAGTGGGCTGGACCCTTCTTCATCAATTGACGATCAAGATGGTCCCTGAATATACGTGAATACAGGGCAATCTGATCTGGTGAATCCTTTAACTTAAGATGCCCTTTTCAGGTGACTCTAGGCTATATCAAGTGGACAGATAAAACTGACCAAGGACACGGAAGGCTGGAACACTGCTACCCTGAGTCTGTAGTCTACGCTGGTCCAGTGGCCGTGTAAACCTTTGCAGGTCCATTCATGGATAACCTCGTCACTTTCTGAGGTTCCAGCCTTCAAAACGTAACAGGCCTGTGGGATAAAGGTTGTGTCCACTCTGGGTCAAACAAGGAATAACTGTTTCCACACTTCTTAGGATGTCAGGCACCGTGTAGCCCCCTCAGCTAAAGTCAAGCTACTTGCCTGTTGCTTCCTGTGAGGCCATACTGAGTTGTCAAAGCCTTGCGTCTTTCCAGACAATGAACCATTCGGTGAGTAGCTGCGTGTGCAATACCAGTCATTGCTGGTCTTGTTAGAAGTATTAGGCTCTACCTGAGCTATCAGAATAATTTGAAAGATTTCCCATTTTAAGTGTATTCAGCGCATAAATGTACACATGAGCATGGGTACACACGCACACCATGGCTACTGTGTGTCTGAGGACAACTTTTAGGAGTTCCATTCTTGCCTTCCACCATATGGGATCTGAGGATCAAAGCCAACAGGCTTGTCAGCAAATACCTTACCTACTGAGCAAATGCCATGGCCCTAACAGAATTTTTAGTAGGCACTAAATTTTGTATAGTGACATAAATTTTGTATGTCACTATCCTCCATAGAACTAACAACTACGACTGTCAAAATTTACAGTAGGTGAATAGGCAAACACAGTCTCCTCGAACATACACTTTAAAGCTCTTCCAAATACATTTAATGATCTAGTACATGTAATTTTATTGATCCACAATAGTAAAATAGAAAAAAAAAACAAGTATAAGTAAGAGTGCTTTCCATGATAGAGCATGGAAGTCAAGGGCATGTAACCCAATGTCCAGCTGCTGCGCTAATGGCCAGAGTCTAGAGTCTGGACACAGCGGCTGCTGATCTTCCTTCATGTGTGAATAGATGGAGCTGCGCTTCTGCTCAGTGGAACTGCCACTGCTCCCACAAACCAAGAAGGCCCCCCGCCAACCAGAGTTGCTCACATGGCTGTCACGTACTCCAGTCATGTTCCCTTCACTCACAATCTTTCTGCGTGTACCCGCTTCATTCTTGGTTACACACATGTAGTTTCCATCCCGGGCTCAAAAGGATCCTTCTTGCTCCCTCTCCTGATTCAACACCTACCTCGTTATCCTTCGATGATGGATGAAGCCCGGGTACACACGTTAGCAACCCCTCCCGATTCCAGTGTAATTAATTCCAGTGGTAAATAATGGCAAACTTTGCAACTGTGGATGGCTAACACTAGGTTTAAAACTCTATGCGGACAAGGGTTGTGAGTCTTGTTGGTGCTGATCCCCTCAACATGTGGCCAACATCTTGCTGCTCACAGCAGAACTAAGATTGTTGAGGGAGGTGAATGCAGAGTAGGTCAAAGGTGAGATTTGATGTCTGTCCTGTGTATCCTTAAGTGAGTCCCTTGTTCCTGTCTTCTGTCATCCTGATGGGTATATCTGAGCATGGGGAAAGCACATGGCCATGAAGAGGCCTTCCTGTGTAAGAGTGATCTGACATAAAGGCTAGGAACACACACAAGTGTCTACTTGGCCCTGATGAGCAGTCATCAAGATGGGAAATGGTGGTATAACAGATACTGGTAGAACTAGGAGACCATGGGCTTCAAGAAGTAGCCCATCTTCAGGGCCCAGTAGGTTCACCTGGGACATGGTAACACACCCATCATCTACTCAGACTAAGAATATCCTTATGGTGAGATCTCTGTTTAAGACACTACAAGCCTGTGCCAGGGTGAATCACTTCACCTCCTTGAGTCTTGGCTTTCTTCTCTTTCAGATGGAGATGAGGTCTCAAAATTCTCCTCATTGACCATGGCAACAATTTCTCACTACTATTATTAAAGTCGAGAACACAGGGCATGTCACAAAGGACCTAAGGGAAGCTGTCCCCGTCCTCTTTCTCTCTCATCTTCCTCCAGTAACTTATGGGGATTTTTTTTGATTCTCCTTCATCTTTCTTCCCACACAGAAAGCCAAGAGTCCAGAACTGTAACCTCAGGAACATGGGCATGTTTTTATAGCATTTCACTTTAAATGCAGTATTCTTTTAACAAAAGATTAATTAATTGTGTGTGTGTGTGTGTATAAAAGTTAGAGGAAAACTTGAAGGAGTTGCTTCTTTCCTCCTGCCATGTGTGTCCTAGAGGGAAAAAACTTAAGTAGCAAGCCTGACTTCAGGTGCCTTTACCTACTGAGCCATCTCACCAGCCCTTTAGAGGATTTTAAACGAACTTGGAAAACATGTATCACCCAAGAACCTGTAAAGCAGTGTATATACTATGAATTCTTGGATGGGGCTTCAAGGCACAGTTAGCTTCATAGATTGAAACAGCAGCACAAATGAAGAGCTTCGTCATGTAATCTATGGATACAGTCCAGGAAACACATTATAGCCTTTTCTAGTTCAATGTTTTTTGAGCTGCACTCTTATCTCATTTTACTGTCTCGTCCGAGCCCAGGGAACAGTCCCACAGGGTGTTACTTTTATAACCATCTAAAATAAGCCACAAAACCTGACCTGCATTTGAGCCACTGACTATCAAACGGACCAAAGAGCTAAATCTGTAAATGATACCACCTGGCTTCTCCATGGCTCAGCATTTCAAGAGGAGGGTCACTGACTGAAGACACCTAACAAGTCGAGGTACATGCTTCCTGGGCTCATTGATGTAGCAACGTGCAAGGAAATGGTGATGCCAGACCAAACTATTTCCCATTTGGTAGAACAAATGAAACGCTAAGAGGGGTAGGAAGTAACAGGGACAAGACAGAGTCTTACCCAAGCCACTGTCAAGCAGTTATCACAGCTGTGTGTATTACCAAGATGTAAACAAGAAATAACCTGCTATATGGGGGAGCTTGGTACCAAGGGTTCAAGCAGGCTACTGCTGTTTTGATCAACCCACACACATCCTGTTGACAGATATCAGGCAAGGGGCATGTGGGTCTTCATTGAGAGAAGACCCATTTGGGATTGACTTCACCCCAAGAATGGTAGCAATGTTCCTGAAAGACTCAAATTAAGAAATAATGGATTTCCGTGTCTCTGGCATCCAAATGCTGCTGTCTCCTTATTTAGCATTGGTGTCATACGTGTTTATTGTATGTGTGTCAGGTATTGACATTGGAGGCATCAGGTTAGGCACTGGAGTTAGACTTCACACATCAGGCTAAAGGAAGCATAGGCAACACTGCTACCCAGAGTTTACAGCTCCAAGGGACAAGACAGACACTATGTAGTGATGGCTAACAGTGAGTTTCAGCAGTGATTAAGTACCATGAATGACATGTGTGGGGGACTGAGAGCTGGCCTGGGTAACCTAGGGAACAGGGTTGTGCTGAGGGTGTGACCGAGACATTAGGAAGGAGAAGTAGAGGAGAGAAAGGTGCCTGCGGTTTTCTAGGAAGGAAAGAAATGCATACAGCT